CCGAACCCTACCCTGCTCGCATGGATGACCTTGACAGTGCAGTGTACTATTCAGCATGGAATCAGTGTATCGCGGAAGCCATCAAGCGATTCCCAATTGACGCCTACCACATCAACGATTACCACGGCTCTCTCGCACCTCTTTACTTGTTACCACGAACTATCCCCGCTTGTCTTTCGTTACACAATGCCGAGTTCCAAGGTCTCTGGCCTATGCGAACGATCAAGGAAAAAGAAGAGGTCTGCTCTGTCTTCAACCTGGACGAAGAGGTCGCTCGTCGTTACGTTCAATTCGGTGAGGTGTTCAACTTGCTACACGCTGGCGCAAGTTACCTCCGCGTCCATCAAAATGGTTTCGGTGCCGTCGGTGTTTCTAAGAAGTACGGAAAACGGTCCTATGCTCGCTATCCTATCTTCTGGGGTCTCCACAAGGTCGGCAATCTGCCAAACCCTGATCCATCTGACATCGGTGAGTGGACAAAGGAGCCCACCAAAGAGCAAGATATTACTGTGGATAAAACATACGAGGCTGGCCGTGCTGAGCTCAAGAGACAGGCCCAGGAATGGGCAGGTCTCGACCAGAATCCCGATGCCGACCTGCTTGTCTTTGTTGGTCGCTGGTCTATGCAAAAGGGTGTTGATCTCATTGCAGACGCAATGCCTGCTGTTATCGAATCTCGACCTAACGTGCAATTGATTTGCATTGGCCCCGTTATCGATCTTTACGGTAAATTCGCTGCTCTCAAGCTTGACCACATGATGAAAATCTATCCCGGACGCGTCTTCTCAAAGCCTGAATTCACTGCACTCCCTCCATTCATCTTCTCCGGTGCCGAGTTCGCCCTGATTCCATCTCGTGACGAGCCCTTCGGACTGGTTGCCGTGGAGTTCGGCCGAAAGGGTGCTTTGGGTATTGGAGCCCGTGTTGGTGGTCTCGGTCAAATGCCAGGTTGGTGGTACAATGTGGAATCGACCTCGACGTCTCACCTCCTCATGCAATTCAAGCTTGCAATTGAGGCCGCGCTCAATTCCAAGACATCCGTTCGTGCTATGATGCGTGCCAGATCTGCGAAACAGCGTTTCCCCGTCGCTCAATGGGTCGAGGATCTTGAGATCCTGCAATCCACCGCCATCGCGATTCACGAAAAGGTGGCCAAGAATCAGGGTAACAGCAGCACTCGACCTGGCACTTCTTCTGGAATTAGCAGTCTCAGTGGAGCTATGTCATCTCTGACTCACCTGCCAGGCGGACTGCCCTCACCCGGCATGAACTCTCCATTCACGCATTCCAGGGACAGCAGCTACTCCTTCAACCAAATGAACAATCTTGCTTCACAGAAGAAGGTCAGCTACAGCATAGACCCAAGCCCGGATGATGTGGAGAAACCCAAGTCGGGGCTGAGTCGTTCTCTCTCCCTGGGTGTCCGCTCAGGCCCCGGTCACGCTGGACGTCGTCGCAGAAGAGCAGGAGATGATATCGCAGAAGGTGATGAACACGGAGCCACTGATGCCGAAGGCGACAGCAGCGACGAGGACACTGCCCACAACTTGTATGCAGATGATGACGAATATACTCTTACTCCAGCCCAAGTTGAGGCAGGACGACGAGCCCAGGCTGCTCAAAAGGACCGCTCTCACAACATGCCTTCTCCAATTCCCTCTCCGAGCAGACGTGTCAGCCAAGAGTCTTTGCAGCCCAGGTTCATGGTGCCTTTGGAAAGCCCAGGAAGTCCCGGAACACCACCGAGCGCTGAGAGCCTCCTTCTTCCTCCTCAGCCATTCGGCCAGTCGAACCGTTTCAGCAGCGCATCCGTTCTATCTTTGGACTCTGTCGTCGGCAATAAGACCGACTTCAAGCTGCAGAAGGTTGATCCTTTCTTCACCGATAGCACTGGCGAGTACTACAAGACCTTCGATAAGAGATTGGATGCCCTGAACGGATCTAACTCAGAGTCACAACTTTGTATCGAAGAGTTCTTGATCAAGAGTGAGCAACAGTGGTTCGATAGGTTCCGCAATGCCAGACTCGGTCGCAACAAATCTCCCACACCATCGATTCGCCATTCTTCAAGAAACACAGATACCCCAGAAAACATGTTCTACAATGATGATATGGTCTCTAACGCGAACAGCAACGAGGATATGGTTCTCCAAGACGACGAGTTCCTGCTCGGAAAGGACTATGTCCCTCCCACTGGACTCAAGAAATGGATGCAGATCAAAATTGGAGATTGGCCGGTCTACTCCATCTTCCTCGCTCTGGGCCAGATCATCGCTGCAAACTCATACCAGATCACCCTCCTCACAGGTGAAGTCGGTCAGACTGCGGAGAAACTGTATGGAATTGCTACAACATATGCCATTACATCTGTTTGCTGGTGGCTCGTGTACCGGTACTTCAAGTCTGTCGTTTGTCTCTCTACTCCGTGGTTCTTTTACGGTCTTGCATTCCTTATGATTGGATCTGCTCATTGGCAAGCGGATACCTTCAGTCGGGGATGGATCCAAAATGTGGGCACTGGCTTCTACGCCGCGGCCTCCTCCAGTGGATCTATTTTCTTCGCTTCCAACTTTGGTGACGAGGGAGGTGCTCCTGTTGAAACCTGGATTTTCCGCGCCTGTGTTATTCAAGGTATTCAGCAAGCGTATGTCATTGCGCTCTGGTACTGGGGTTCCACTATGACCAAGGCTTCTTCACAGGGTCTCCTGAACCCTGAGACCAACATTTCCAACACCTGGAAAATGAGGTAAATAACACTGCGCTCCCATGTCCTGACTTCTTTTACTGACTTTATCTTTAGTGCGATCTGTTATCCCATCGCCATCTTCTTGTTTGCCGTTGGTGCTCTGTTGGCCATGGGTCTTCCCAACTACTACCGCCAGAAGCCCGGCAAGGTGCCGTCTTTCTACAAGTCCCTTTTCCGAAGAAAGATTGTCTCCTGGAATTTCATTGCGGTCATCCTACAGAACTTCTTCCTTAGCGCACCCTATGGTCGCAACTGGAGCTGTAAGTTCAATCCCCCTGTCCAGCTCTTGCACATACATCAATGCTAACATTTCCCAGTCCTGTGGGGTTCCATCCACACCCACGCATGGCAGATCGTCATCCTCTGCATCGTCTTCTTCGGCGTTGTCTGGTGTGTATTCCTCTTTGTCGTCAGCAAATTCTCCAAGAAACACAGTTGGTTCCTTCCCGTCTTCGCCTGCGGCCTGGGCGCACCCCGCTTCATCCAAATCTGGTGGGCTGTCTCCGGCATCGGCTACTATCTCCCCTGGGTTGGGGGATACACTTCCGGTGCGCTCGTGTCTCGCAGTCTCTGGCTGTGGCTTGGCGTGTTGGATTCCATCCAAGGTCTCGGATTCGGTATCATCCTTCTGCAAACTCTCACTCGAGTCCACATGTGTTTCGCTCTCATTGCATCTCAGGTGCTGGGTTCTATTGCGACTATCTGTGCCCGAGCTTTCGGTCCTAACAATACGGGCCCCGGCCCGATTTCTCCTGATATGACTAAAGGCGCTGATTCCTTGGCTAATGCCTGGTTTTGGGTTGCCTTGTTCTGTCAGTTGTTGGTCTGGTATGTTTCTCTTTTCTTCTCGAGGTTGCTAAATAGAATGACTGCTAACGTCTTTTACAGTGCTGGCTTCCTCCTGTTCTTCCGTAAGGAACAACTCGCCAAACCATAAGCTCCCCCTCCCTTTTGGAGCAGTTCTGTTTCTTGTCACAAAACGGCTATGCCATCACGACGAACATGAATGTCAAATTAATCTCTGCATACATGAAGCATGTTGTTTCCCTCATTTGTGATCTATTTTGCTTTTTTCCGGTATCTTAATGTTAATACATATTATCGTTGTACCGAGTCCTTACTCGGTTGATAGAGTATATGAACTCCTCCCCGTATCGAAAGAAAGTAGGATTAGATCCTCTGCTGTAGTTGCTCAGCAATGCTGCTTTTCTAGGCTCTTTTCAAGGACATAGTCTGCCTTGAGAAGATGGCGGGTCCTACGTTGTCTTATATATCAAAACGTCGGGTCCAATGAACCCGTTTCAAACTGGCCAGGGTAGGCAGGCTACCATTTAACTCTAGAGGCAATCTCCGTGGACTGGATCATCGAATGCACCTCTGAATTTACCTGTGGCTCTCAACAAAATTGTCGTTTAGCGTTTTATCTTTCGTACACAATTCATAACAAACTTGGAGAAGAGGTAGTTACGTTCATCGACCCAACTAAAAGCCATGCTTAGCCTACCGGTGGAGAGCTCCGGGAATGGATGTGAACAAGTCGCAGTCGCTTTAAACCACTCAAGGATAGTTCTCAGCCTGGCGTTCCTTGAGAATAACTCAAGCCCGCATCTGGAAATTTGCGAAAGCCACATTTATATAACTTGGCAAACTGTGAGTTGAATCGGCTTTCGGGTGTATTCTGCTCTACTACGCAGTCACGCTGACTAGGTGATGCATCTAACATGCTGAAGAAAGATGTGCCGGAAAAAGGTCGACTTTAGGGCGTTGAATGTCTATCTTCCTTCTGTTCTTGTGGGTTTCTATACAAACGTTGCTTGGATATACTCAAAGAAGTTAATGTGAGATTCACCAGTGATGGCCCCCAAACCCCCCAAAGCAGTTGCCTGAAGATCCGCCCCACAAAGCTGCACAAGATGTCCGGGCTAACCGAGTGGATCGCGATCGTCAACCTAAAAGTTTCTTCGTTGTACTTTGTGGATTTGATGTTTGGGGGAATAATGCAGGGAAAGGAGCAATATCAAGTTGAGGGCCCGGAAGGGACCAGAGCGGACTGCCGAAAGTATTACTACGCTCAGTTACAACCTTAACAGGACTTAGTAAAAGTCGCCATGGGGAATCAGGAATAAAACAACAGGTCTCGTAAAAAGAATTAACATTATCTTTTCAATTCTATAAAAATTAAAAGCCAGCAGTGAGCCTCTGCCCATTGCCAGTCACATGAAGTTGAAATAAAATCCCTAACATCATCTTCCATTCAACTCCTCAAAGCTCTGTCACCGGTGGTAGGCACCGGCTTTGCCAGGCGCAGACACCAACATAGTGCATGTTCAAGCGGAAGCAGCAAGATGAGAATTCTGTTAAAGCGGTAGGATAGGGTGACCGTAAAGATGGCCACAACGGCATCGAGCCAGTAGTGATTGGCCGTGGCAACGATAACACTCAGCACGAGAATCGGATAGCAGATAGCGAGGGTCAAGAACCCATATTCAGTCAGCCGTGACTTTTGCGTCGGCTTGCCTTGGAGTCTCTGCAGGAATCCGGAGTGGTGGAGGAATGTGCACCCGATCACGAAGGCGTAGGTGAAGTGTAGACTGGGCATAGCGGCGAATTGGTTGACTGATTTTCCGCCCACCCAGATGCTTTCTGCGTTACCTTGGCGCACGGTATCGTAGAAGCCATAGGAGTCGGGAAGGAGTCGGGGTGGCATGAGGGGGTAGACGCAGAATACCAAGAAGGCGGCGAGGTTTCCGAGGGTCATTGTGCGTCGGGCGATGGCGAAGGAGGCATGGTTTTTGGCGACGTAGTAGTACCAGGAGAGGAATCTGTTTGAGATTTGGTTGATTAGTTTGGAACCATGTCAAGTCAAAAAGGGTTCAGAGTTACTCACAGCACTGTGCCGGGAATATGAATTAAGGAATAGATACGATTGAACATAGTCAAGATCGAGGGGTGATTTTGAATGAAAAAGGACTGGAAATCGGCTTCCTTGATCGGGAATATCCAAGAAGCGGTTTTATGTTCGAAGTTGAGAACGTCGATGGCATGGCCTCGTGCCACCGCGACAACGCCGATGTCCGCAGGAGAAAGCCACTGCGCCGTCGCCTTTGTCACCGAGTAGAACAGATAGTTCATGATCCAGTAGAACATCTCGACCAAGAATGGGATTTTCTGCAGGATTCTGCTGTGGAAGTGGTGCGCCCAGCGCGAAGAGTCTCGATTCTCGATCTTGATCCCGTATACATGTTCGGATTTGGTTTGCACGTCGTTGGCGAGCTGAACCTCGTTGAAATGAGCATTGCCCTCTTCCAAAAGGGTATAGTGGTTCTTGCTCGAGTCTCGGCGGCGATTCACAATCAACGATCCCACCATAATACCCACAACCACCTGTCCACGAGATTAACACATGTTCAGCGATGCACGTTCATCAGACCTTACAATGGGCTCAAGCCATGCGTGGGACGCCAATTGCGGTTTTCCGAGATCCGGTGTCGCTGCATCTCGAATCAAGAGTGCGCTGGCCATATTTGCGGTAGAGGTCACCAAAGTGTCACCCCCAAAAGCGCTACAAACAAAACAGAAATCCAGCCAGGGGGCAAGGGAATTAAATGTAGTCGCGTGCCCCCCTTGGAGGATCAAATATGCATAATCTGGATAATACAATACCGATGTAATAATATACGAGTACGACGGGACGGAGCACGGAATAGAGTCCCGAGGTACGGTGGAGCTACAGTCCGTACAGGCTGAAGAACACAATCTCTAGATCAACATCTCGAGGCTTTGTTCAAGTCTCTCCATGTTGAACTTGCCATTCAGAAACTCTAGGTGAACGGGGAATTTGTCGGGGGGAAGCTGCCAAGGCAAACAATGTAAGGGAGCTAAGAAGCCCGAGTTTGAAATATGCGCCTCGCCCCTTCTCGAGAATGGAACACCTTGGACCCATCGCGTCCTATCATATCCTTTCAGGCTATATCGATGGAGCCAATGTGCCAAGGAATATGCTATCACCTGATGTTCAGCTTTCACCCTATGTACTCCGTACTCTCCGTATATATGAGACACTTCGTAATCGTATATTGAAACCATCGTGCATCCAACCTTATTGGGTTTGGCATGCCAGGTCATTTGAGATTCAAAAGGGGCTCCAAATGTGGTTTGAATGTTATTACTAGACTGATTCCCAAGGACACAACCCAAGAGTCTTCGTACTTGCCGGTCGATTTCCTAGATCGGTACAATTGAAAACCCGACCGAGAGCCAGAAAATGCAGGCTTGCAATCATTATGAATCCCTACACAATCTTGCCCATCCCTGGGTGGAGTGGCAAAATGATAGTGAAGTCGAACCCTGGAAGATGGAGGTCATGTTGAGCCGAGGCTTGCCCACCGATTTTATGTCAAGACAATTCTACCAAATTGTGTAAATAGGTCCCGAGGTATCAGGTTTATGCGTGTAAAAACTTGAATTTTTGATCAAGCCACAGTGATTTCCGAGGTTTTTCTACTTCCTGAAGAATGTGGACTCCATAATGGCAATCTATGTCCAATCACCAGTCAACACTAGTTACTAGCGCTTGGGCGATACGTATGCTAACTTTGACATGATCCACTCACGTTCAATCCCAAACTCATGGCATTCCAGACTAATCTCTGGCCCCTTGGCCGGATGATGTGCATGAGTTTGGCCCGCTGAGTAATCTATGTATTTTGATCATAATTAAGTAAGAAAATATGCATAAATTCGATCTGCTCTCGAAGCACGTGAATGTGCAAACAAATCAAACAGGGGAACCGTCGAAATAGTATACTGGCAGATCCGAATAGGGGAGAGCGCAATGGAACCACGCACAACACCAAATAGCAAATATGAATGGTTCGGAATAGTTCGCAGGATCATTCTGACTCTACAAGGCACCCGCGACGTGTCAACCGGTCAGCCATAATCAGCTACAGCCGATATGAGGCCCAAGGGCCGTAATGTGTGGATGACTGGTAGGAATGTTGCGGGTGCATTGCGAACTCCGAATGGCGGCAGGAATTGACACCATGTAGTCAGGTTCAGCTCGGCTACATTGATAGCATCTACTCCGTATCAAAACCCCTGTTTCCCGACCCAATTTTGCTCAATCCCTCGATATCCATGTCGTAAACGAAAGCATTGAAGTCCTTGGGTCCCTGGAGAGTACTGGATGAAGGGCTATTTCAACAGTTGTCATCATCCCAGATACCCGCGTTCACCTCATCCTTCGAGGCAAACACCGGCCCTTGGGCCGTGCTTTCATAAATGACCGCGAACACGACTTTCCGGCGAATAAAAAATCCGCACTGATGCGAATCCCGGTCCACAATCAAGTTTGGAAACTGGGGTGCACCGAAGCATCGGCTGAACTTACAAGCTGGACTAATTTGGTATAGCTGTGCGCAAGGCGAGGCGTGGTCTGAATGCCGTGAGTTTGGATTCGAGGGGATCACTGCCTTGCCTAAGCACGATGGTGGTAGCGTGAGTCGCACTTGGGACTGCGCTTCGCACACTAATACCGCGCAAGACTTTGATGTTGGCGCGCTATTTGTCGTAGTGTACTTTGGAATGAAGGTCCACTTCAACACTAGCAATCGCACTAGCACTAGCTCAGGGGCTTAGCTTCAGTCGAAAAGAAATTGGTTGGATGTCGACAAAAGGAGGTTGACGAGAAAGACCTGGAAAAGACTGCTTATGGCCTGAGGCGCCAGGGCTGTGAACTTTGTATAGAAATCTGACAACCTCGTAATACACTACAAAGGCGTTCTTTGTGAAATATCATAATCATATCATGTATATAAAAGCCTCCAATCCTGCATGTGTTCAAACTCACAAATAATCTCACCGTGGACATGAGGTTTGTTCAATTTATGGCCTTTATACCAACTCAACTCCTATCTATACCAAACTAGCTAGTCTCCAAAACCCTGTATCGATATGGACGGTAATTGTTATGAAACTTCACTGGCAATTAGGATAATCTTCACATGGCAAATGCTCGATCATCTCCCATGGATGTATCTACAGCGGTGGTTGCCACAGATCCTACATCGCACCTGCTTCATTTTAGAATGGCACTGATGCCAATGTGATATCCATGGATAGCCCACGCAGCGTGACTTTGTCTGCAACTCGCCAACCCCAAACAGCAAGACGTCAATTTATATTCAATCCTCCATCATGAGGGCTCTCCACTATGCACGAGGATCAGCGAACTACGGAAAGCTTGCCATTGCCACAGCCACCATTCTTGGAATCCTCACACTCGGCGCCCTGACATACTTACTGATATGGTACGTTCGAAGAAGACTCCGCGCTCAACGACTCTATCATCAGGGGAGCCACGAAAATGAATTCGATCAGTCCGCAGTGTCCCTAGCCGAGGACACAGGCAGGACCCTAGATGACTTCCTCATGAAGGATATACAGCCCGAGCGGAACTCAATCATGTTCAACAGAAGCCGGTCTCCATCCATCACTATCATCATTGACGACCCCAACACCGTCCGCTGCAAGTCTCCACCTCGCCCTTCCCCCATACAACATGGGACCGCAGCTTCTACATCTGCAGATCCATACACCCTAACACAGATCCCGACTCAAGAGTCCATTACTGATGAGCCACGGTCCGACCTGACTCAGTGGAGCAGCTCGGAACGGCGCTCGTCAAGCACGACGCCGAGAGCATCTACCTCATCATCGGTCGTCCCGACATCGGGATCATCTCAGATCTGGACTACAACTACCAGCGCACCGTCGGACCAGACCCAGACAAGTAGCTCAGGACAGCATTCATCAAACACGACACCGAGAGCATCCATCTCGTCATCCGTCGTCCCAACCGCAGGATCCTCCCAGATTTGGACCACGACCTCGGCCGGAACCGAGACGTTTTCGCTTCTTAGTCAATCTTCAAATTACTCGCACCATCCTCAAAGTCCCACTGGCCCATCCACATCCCGCAACTCGCAGGTATATACGCGGCGTTCGAATGCTGCGTCTGGTGCATCCAGTCGTCCGTCCAGTGCAGGTGTCTTGCAGGCCGCGTCGCGTATGTTCAATGAGGCGGAGGCTTCTCGGATGGTTTACTCGAGAAACATGAACTCTTTCACGTCGACGACTCCCACTCCTCCTACTTCGCCGGTGTTGGTGGACTTTTCGGCTGAAAATGAGCATCAATGGACATCTGTCCCTCCGACCCCTTTCCCCTTCAATCAGGTTTGACCCTCGGTGGTATATATAGGGCCGTTGACTTGATTTTGGTCTTTTGATTGCTGGCTCAGACTGACAATGAAAGACTGAGATTTATTCAGGTTCCAGTCGTGACTAGGGGACTATTCCTTGTCTTTGGTTTCCCTTTACCGTTGATGTTCTTGGACTGCATTTGTTTTTGCTGACACCTCTTATCCATTATGTATAGTGTCCTGGTTTTTCCAATTTCTATGCCTTGATTGATCCAATTATTCTACCTGGAGGCTGAAAATTATTAAGGTTGAACTTGAACAAACACTGGTAGTCCTTACAAGCCTCTGCTGCTTTCCTTATGCTACCTCACTATAAAACGGAAGACCAGGATATCGGAGAGCAGTACCCAAAGGATTACCGAAGAGACATCACCAGACCAAACCATTCTTGTAGTAACCACCCAGGAAATGCATGGATTACTAGAGGAGTATCGAGAGTTTACAAAACCACGCTGTGGTCAGTTGAAGAACCTGGAGAGATAACCCTAACTATGCACATTGAATTCCTCATCGCGTGACGTAAGAGGACTGAGTAAAGATACAGTAGTAATACGCAAGATACTGAGTTCACGAACTCCTCTTCTTGTTTCATTTGCATTTCCCGCTGCTGACGGAGCCTCCGCTCTCCCTATCCCGATCCCAATCGATGCTTCCTTCATTCATTCCGCATATCACGAGTCCCAGAACAGACGTGGAAAATCCGTCTCTAGACAGGATTGAGGCTGATATCCGGGATATCAGTAAACAGAACATGTCCCTCCATCAGAGCCGCCGATTTAGCATGACGATCCGCCTTCGTATTCAACTCCCTCGGGATCCGCCAGAACTGAACAGTCAACCCCCTATCATGCCACATTTCCACCTCCCCAAGCAGACACTCCCAAAGATCCCGATTCCTGACTGGTTCCCCGGCAGTTGTGATCCAATTCCACCGCAGCCAATCCCATATCCAGCTCGTGATGCCTTCAACCACATATTCCGAGTCGCATGCGATGACCAACCGAGTGAACCCTTCCGCAGCCCAGTCTCGATACCGCAGGGCGCCGATGACGGCGCGGAGTTCGGCGCGGTTGTTGGTTCGCGTGTGTTGTTGGTTAGTGGGTCCTTTGTACTCGAGAGCGAAGCGTGCGAAACCAGATGTGGAACCGTTGAAGACGAATGAACAGCCTGCTTTGGCGTTTATTCTGCCGTTGTCAAAGCATGCACCGTCTGTGTAGATGAGGAAATCGGTCTCGACGGATCGGTTGTTGGGGGTTACGCGGATGAATCGGTGGACTCGCTCAGTCGCTGTCACTTTGGGACAATGGGGGAATAATGACTGCGGCGTGTCGTCTGGGTGTGGGGGTTGGTATTCTGTGGGGATGACACGGCCAGTTCCGAGTGTGAGCTCGGTGTACAGGCGAGGATGTCTGTAGCCTGTGAAGATTGGTCTGGGGTTTGGTTGGAAGGACATGATGGTTTGGTAGGTATACGATCGAAAGAGCTATGGGATGTACTAGCTTGGTAAAGAGAAGCTTAGAGAACAAGGAAAGATGAGAAGAAAGAAGTGATTCGCGACTAAATAGGAAATTACCTAAATAGGGAGGTACGACACCCGATAGATCTTGGAAGGCGCCGAAGAGGTGACCACCTCAACAGAGCCATTTCACGACAGCTGGGATACGTGAGCTAGTCAGAGAAAGCGAAGAAGAATATTCGATTTCTTGAAGTTGGGAAAGGAACACACAGCTCGGACATCGTTGTGTATGATTTGCATATTGAAGAGTAGAGGGACCGGAAAAGAAGACGGGAGGAGAGGACGAACGGAGGACAGATCGATGGATGTCATTCGGAATGTACACTCTATACTTCTTCTGCAATTTCGGTCAAGTCATTGAACACACGGCGGGCTGTTTCGTGAGCAGCCGTTATCATTTCTGAGACGATTGTAGGAGGAATCATAGATCACGAAGGAATGCGTAAGGAGGCTTTCTGAGAAATCATCCTCGACACACTCCTTGAGGGGACGCTCATCCACATGATTCAATTTGATATATGAGTAGTCGCCGGGCTGGCCGTTTCTGCTATAATGTTCTGGTTCAAGTTCAAAGCATCTGAGGCATTGCTTTATACCTTGATGTTGGTACCTTGGTGTTGTAACGGGAAGACCTTAAGATATCAGCCATAGTATATGATTGAAATTGAAATGAGAGGGAAAGCTGCAATGTGTATTTGTGAATGTCCACTGGAATGAACCATGTAACCTGTATCTTCATATCTCACCTATAGAGATGAGGGTCTATAGCATTGAGTTGATATTCTATATATAGACTACCAAGACAAATTAAAGGACTACTAGAACACCTTATTTTACTTTGACATGATTCTCGGGCTTACATCTCCCGGTTCAAACGAGCAAGATTCTAGCCCAAGAGTGATGAACTACGGGGAAGTCTGTTGTGCCACTAGCGATTGGGGGGTCATAAGGAAAATCAGTAATAAAATGGAAGATAGCGCTGTAGTATCACTTCATATTTAGCCTGGGTATCTGAGGTCCGGAATAAGAAGTCAATGATCATTATATTTCCTTGTCTGAGTTACCGAACAAAACATAGAGGAAGTCCCACCTCCACACGCCTCGCTATTCCAGTGGAAACGCTTCAGACATAAAACAGATTAAAAGGGCAAAGCAAAATTATCGAACACATGTCCGCCATGAGATGTACAGGTAGAAAGAGACGCAAATTAAAAAAAAAAAAAAGTCCTTGAGATCTATCCGGATATATCATCTTCATCTTCATGCATTCATATCGCGCACACTGCGCAAACACCGTTCAAGGCGTTTGCCGCGCTCCTTTTCGCGTACAAGGGTATCTTTGACAAAGGCTCGGATGGCATCACGGCCGACCTTTTCTCGCCATGAGGTCCAGCCAGCGAGTTCCCCGACCACGACATCCTTGTTCCACGAGATCTCCTTCGCTAGCCGAGTTGACTCGGATTCGCCATCGTGGATCTTTTGTTCGAGCTCACGGACGGACTTTTGGCGAGACTCTTCAAACCCTGGGAGGTTGATATTGAATTTGCGGGGGAGAGAGGAGGAGACGAGAGAGGAGCGAGAGCGAGAAATTTGACGGTTTGTTGAAGAGAGGGAGGACATGAGCGCTAGTGGACGGGATAAAGAGACGAGAATTGCAGCTGTCGTGTTGTCGACGGAGGAAAGAGCTGCCAGATACTGGAGAAGAGGGGAGGAATCAGACCGAGATGTTGATAGGTAGGTGGCGTAACGAGCAAAGGCCTCAATGTGTGAGACCGGAAGTGCATTGGTGGGCGTTCGGAGTGTAGCAAGGACCGACGAGCATATCATCACCGCGTCGGCAAAATCGGAGGTTGCATTCTGTAATGCATGTCCTCGGCGAATCAGGGAACGCGTGTTGACGTGTACACCACGCACCATCTCCTGGGCGTGGGTGATGAACTGTTCCGTGTCGCGCATGCCTTCCAGTGAGACCGGGGCGTATTCGTCCACGATGGTCTCTTTGAGCACGGCAGCCTTGCGATGCGATCGGTCGGCCACCATCTCAGGCTGGAGTTCTGGAACGAGGAAGAACTCCCACAGCATTTCGTGAGTTGAAAAGGTTGGGTGGGCGAGAAGTGTCTTCAGAAACCGGTCCAATCTTTCCTGGAGATCATGGAGAACAGACCGTGATGGCTTGGAGTGGATCTGGAATGGATTCCGGAAGTCTGAGAGAGATGGCATGTAAGATGCCGGATGTTCCACACTAAGCCATTTAGCCAGATTCTCAAAGTCGGAGAAATTACGGCGACAGGTCGTAACAGTGTATGTTGTCGATCCGGGCCGCGATGATGCCATAGATTCGGAGGAGGGAAAGGGGGCACCGGATTTGAGAATGAAGCGCACGGTTGCGTCCTCGACGAAATACGATCGCACAACTGTCGTGACGCGCCCCGAAGGATCTCCACCGGCCGATGGAGGATGGGACAACAAGATCAAATCGTCGATGCGGTTTCGCACCTCATCATCCTTGGCCAATTCCACGGCTGTCAAACCACGCGCTTCTTTTATATGAACGTCGACTCTTGGGTCTAAGAAGAGAATGCGAACTTGATCAACTCGTCCGTACTTGCTGGCCATCATCAAGGGCGTAAATCTCTTGTCGTTGGTCGCGTTGGGGTCGCAATCGCTCTCCAGAAGTATGCGCCGAGTAATATCAGGATCACCAACAATGTGCAGCAGTGTGTTCCCCTTGGTATCGACATGATCATCAAGCTGGAGCGGTTTGTTATCGCCTTGTGCCCATTGCGCTGCAGTCAAAGCGGCTTGGACCATTGATTTGTATTCCGGATGATCGTACGATCGACAGAGTGCGAAGAGCGGTGTTTGCCCATGTTTGTCTCGTTGTCGCCATGGGATAAGGCTACCAAGTCTCCCGAGTAGCGAGGGCGTGCTAAAAAGATAATGGGCAACAGTGCGACCGTGGACGTCAGATTTGGTCAAGTAGAATGCAACCACGCTTGTATCTGTCTTTGCAAATAGGAAGTCCAGGAGGATCTTGACTATCTCAGTGTGTGCGAGTTGCACTGCAGCATTCAATAGCGTGGTCCCATCGACGTTTGTATCTTGGATGATCTCTTCTAAGGGGTAGTATTCCTCTAAAGTCAACAAGTACTTCAAAGCCTCGGCCTGGCGCGCCTCCACTGCCATCATCGGTATGGAATGACCAGCAGGATCTTGGGTTTTTGTCAAGGTCTCAATCGAATTATCACCTTCAATTCCACTGGCCATGGACCCGAGGGTTGCGGTCCTGGAGATGAATGAGACAGCTGATGATTCCGATAAGCTGCGAACGTCCATTGAGACCTTTTTGATTGGACGGTGCGGGTGAGATTCTTGAATAATCGAAGGATCGTCCCAATTTTGGAATGGGAACACATGTGATAGCGGCGGTGCATCGACAATAGCTTCCTCCTGGTATGGGTCGCCATTCATATGACTTGTATAAGAGTTCTCAAGAGGGGGATCATCCAATTCATCAACTTCAGCTGTTTGGAACAGTACAGACTTTCGCTCCGGTTCCGGCGGAGTCGTGTCGTCTATTGATTCATGAGACCCGTTCGGTTCAAGTATAGATTTCATATCCGATATTTTTCCAGTCTTTGTTGCTTGCCATAAACGTCTGTTGCGAGCGCTGGCGCGCCGTAGCCCAGCGGAGTCGGTTACGAGATACATCAAAACAGCTTCAAATGTGCTTAAAGCGTATCCCATCTCGCCATTATCAACGTCATCGATGTAGATAAAGTGCTGCATGTACAACAATCGAGCTTGGAGATGTCGAATTTGAGAACGAATGACAACAATAAGCAACAATGACACCAAGACATCAGCGTTGATCGTGACAGAAGAAGTTCCCTTTTCAGACGGCGTGCCGTCCATTTGATCGTAACTTCCAGGGAAGGAGATAACCTTCACTGTCCCAAGGAGGGTATTCAGCATATCATGGGGGCACCGAGCGTCATTCATTTTCCGAAATTCTTCCACGGCTCGCCCAAGTCGGCGAATCAGTTCTCGCTTCCCTTCATGCCCACCTTCAACAGAGATTCCGACTTGGGACACATCAATGCTCTCCATCTGGCGGATGCGAGCATCTAGCTCTGTGTCCTCTGGCTGGCGGAAAGAACAAAGACGAGGGAAAAGCAGCGGCTCGTGAACTTGTTCCGCAACATAACGTTCTATTAGCCGTTCCACTAGAGGGCCGGTGAGGTCAGTAGTCGCGCCGAGCAACGATAATTGCTGCTTGTCAACAAGACGGAAAAGGTCAATAGCAGCAGTCACCGCAGTCTCCAGGCTTCGACGCATGAGATCTTCGTCATCTTCAAAGTATTCCTCAGAGTTGAACGGTAGTCGCCCTCTGCTGCGTGACGACCAGCTGCGAATGGAAGAGCTTTCGTCTGTCCAAGACTCAGTCCGGGACAGCTTGTGGATGCGTTCACTACCGGATGCAGATGGCGATCGTGAAGGAGGAGGCGGCAGCGGTTTACCAAGTTCCTTCCCAAATTCCTTGAATAATCTTTCTAGGCCCGGGTGCATTTGTCTGGCAATCATCGGGTAATTGGCTAGCAGTTCCCCAAAAGATTTGATCTCCTGTTTTGGGGAGTCCCAATGGAATCTCCGTTTCCATATTTTTTTTCCGGGGGAGTTGATGCGATCTTGGTGTCGGTCCCAGGGACTGCAGCTGGCAAGATCTTCCTAGGGTCATACGTTCCGATCAATGGGCGCGAGATGTAGTAGATCAGCCATGGGCGCGAGTCACTGGAAGATGCGTAATAAAGCACGTCGGAAAGCAGTTGGGCTTGTGTGAGAGACTTGAATCCTGATAAAAGAAAGTACCGGTGTTAGCTGACATATTTGGGCGAGCGCATTCACCAGCAAGGGCTCTCACCTTTGTTACTGTATAC